CTGACCAGTTTTTGTCATGAATGTTAATAAGAAATAAACGGGATCAAAGTTATTCAAATTGTATTTCTACTTCTTCTAGGGTTGCCCCTTTCTTTCAGAATCCTGTGGTTTGTATTTTTTTAAATAAATATACCATCCTGTTTTCCTTTATATTTATTGTTTAAATGGAAAAATATTTGGGCCTTTTAATTTTGTGTCAGAATGAAACTTTCTTCTTTTGGGATTTTTAGATTGTTGGCAGTGGATAATCCTCACATACTTTCTGTCTGTCTAGTGTAGTGGAGAAACTAGAAATTTTCTGTTCTGCAACTAAGCAGTACCGAGTGGATTAGGACATATTGGTATGGCTTATATTTTATTCATTAAGTTTTTGGTTTAGCAAGATACCAAACCTCATACTTTGTTTCTCTTAAAATCTGAATTTGAATTTCAAGATGAGAAGAATGGGAGTTTTCTGTCAGCCATTCTAAGTTAGCCTTGGACGCTAATGAGTAAATGAGGTGCCTTAGGAATGTGTGTAGCCTTGAGGGAGGGAGAGTCTGGGGAGGGACGTTTCCTGTGTACACGCTGAGTCCATGTTCTGTTTGCTGTTGTTGTTATTTTCTTGTTTAGTTTTATTTGAAATAAAAAAGCAAGTTAGATAATCACAGTATCTTAGAAAATGTTCTCCAAATATCTAAACGATTTTAATGGCTCAGCAAAATCTTAAGAGTTTAAAATTCAGTAATTGCTAGAAGATTGGGATGTTATTTAACAAATTATAAAAAAATCAATTTAGCCTCTCCCCACCTCTCCTGGGCAACTCAGTACACTAATAATGATAATACCTAGCATGCATTATGTGCCTCTGCTTGCCAAGCACTCCTGTTTGCTAAGTACACTCCATGCTTACTAGAATGTCAGCTCCATCAGGGCAGGGATTCTTGTTTGACTTCTTTACTGTTGTATTTATAGCGCCTGGATTTCTTCCTGGCCCATAGCAGATGCTTAATATGTATTTTTGGATTATTATAAGAATTAAATAAGATAGTTATTCTATGAAAGGATCTTATTTAATCTTTGTAATAATCCTATGTCATGAAGTTTGCACTGTTATTATCATCATTACTGCTTTATAGATGATGAGATTGATAATTGGGGTTCACAAGATCGTGCAGTTAATATGTGGCAAAAGTGGGATTTGACCTCTCTGTCTCCAATGTATGAATTCTTAAAAAATATTAAGTTATTTCAGATGAACTTTAAAGTTTTTTTTAAAGAAGAAAATGCAATTAAATAACAATCTCTAGAAATATATATTTCCAAAATTCAACTGACTACAAAGAAAAATGTCAACTGATTTAATCTGTGAAATACTTTAATTTTGTAAGTTCAATAACAACAAACCCCTTACAGCCACAATACACAGGAAAACAAGATTGTACTTGTAGTAAATATGACAAATAGTTCCTATCATTTTTACATAAAATTGATAAAAAGACACTGTTGACAAATGGTCATATACCATAAACTTTTCGTCAAAAAGAAGAAATTATAACTAGTATGTATACATCTGGAAAAATATCCGTCCAGTTACAAAGTGAAGTTAAAACAGTGAATGAGGTCCAGATCTCTACCTGAAAAATACCATCGGGAAAATATTCCCTGATAGGTTCTCTACCAACTTCCCATTGAAAGACATGTTGCCCCACAGCGATAGAAAAATGTAAAAGCTTTAATAGAGTTGAAAACTAAGGATAATAATTCTACTTTTGCAAGAGGTGGGAAAACTATTTTTCAACTGGTCCCCATAGATGAAGATGGAGTGAGAACCACAAGGGATCATGTACCTCCACTTTATCCCCTCAAAGGATCAGCAATGTGGACCAGGAAAGAAGAGAAGAGTGGTCCCTCTACCTTCTAAACACGTAACTCAGAAGGTGTTCACCATCCAGAAACCTGGGCAAGTACCCTAATACTCTGCAGGGGCTTACGGAACTATTCCAGCCAACAGAAGAGATCCATCTCATAGTTAAGAGTGAGGAACTAGGCAGTGGTTCTGTAAAAATGACTGGTGGGTAGGCACTGGAGCTAGTTTGGGCTCAGTGTAAATAATGATAAGTTTGCATAGAATGCAGATGTCCAAACTAATTCCTGAAAAAGGTGATAGAGTATAAAGATAATTAACAATGACTTGGAATAATATATCAGATTATAATAACCAAGTGAATGTGGGAGAGATAGGGTAATTAAAAAGAACTAAATTCTTCATCCTATATGTAGGCAATCAAAATGTGTTATTTCATTTTATACATTGAGAAATAGAGAAGCAGAGTAGAGAAATTATGTTTTTAAGGTGGATTAATGGAGAAGTATGCTTTGGAAAATATTAAAAATAACTGTGATTAGAATCTAAACCAGGATATATATATTTCAAATCAGTGTGGAAAATAGAAGGGAAATAGTCTTACAGCAAAAGACACAAAACAAAGGAAAAAGGAAGAATACACTCAGCATAAAATAATAGAAGAAAACAAGGCATGTTAATTATGTGCATAAATGTAAACTTGTTGAAATACACTGGATTTGTGAGGATTTTCTGGTTGCAAGTGACAGAATCCCAACTTAAGCCAAATCAGGCAAAAGGGGGAATTTTCTGATTCATGTAAGCTGGGGAAGACAGAGATAAGGAGGAGCCTGAGGGTTTACTGGGATCAGAGGCATGAGTGCTCCTGGAACCACCTTATTCTGTCTTCTCTCTTTCAGCCTATGTATGTGTTACCTTTATTTGATCAGATTGGCTTCCTCTACAGTGCTGGGTACATGTCTGCCACTAGATCAAGACTTCTAATGCCCCAGATTTACCAGAGAGAGAGCAAGAGACTGTCTCTTGATTCAGGTTCAGATACCAGGGAAGTGCTCTGATTGGCCCAGCTTGGCTCATGTGCCCATACCTGGTCCCAAGCCGTATGGCCAAGGAGGCAGGGTCATGAAAGAGTATGGAAAGCCCCACTAAGAACTTAAGCAGAGGGGGTAGGCAGAGGAAGGAGAGTAATGTCCCAGAAGATGGGATGTTTGATGCTTTCCTTAGAAGAGGAATGCTACTCGAAGTAGTAAATATTGAACTATAAGTCACTGTCAGAAATGGTCCAGACATCTTTAAAACTAAAAGGATTATCAGTTATCAAAGATACTAAGAAAAGGTAAACAAAGACGGCAATATCAGTATCATGCTAAGTAGGATGCAAGGCAAAAGGCATTGAACTGCACCAAGAGGACCATTGATATTGATGAAAGGTGCAGTCAACAGTAACTATATAACAACCATAAGTATGGCACTAACACTATATGGTTAGCACAAATATCAACAAAACCAAACTTGTTAGAAACTGTGAAAAGACAGAGATGGTGTCATAGAACTGCAAGGGCAAGAGTCATAGCAGGAAACTGGTTAGGAAGCTACTGCGGCCATCCAGCCTGGAGATGATCATAGCTTGGACAAAGCCTTTAGCAGTGGAGGAGATGAGGATCCCCATTTAGAAGGTGAAGGCTGTTGATGGATTGAACATAAAGTGTGAGTCAGAGAGAGGAAGCCATGGCAAGTACTAGGTTCTGTGTGTGGGATAGAGGACATGGATGAGGAGTGGGTTTGGGTGGAAGAGATGAATATGAGGGAGTCTGCCTTTAACTTGCTGTTACTGGACTCCTAGGACTGCTGTAGCAAAGTACCAAAAACTGGGTGGCTGAAAGCGAGGAAGTTTGTTGTCTCACATTCTTGGAGGCTAGACTTCTGAAATCAAGGTGTCAGTGGGTCACAATTGCTCTGATGGCTCTAGGGGAGGATCCTTCCTTGCCTCTTCCTGCCTGTGGCATTTGCCGGCAGCCTTTGGCGTTCCCTGGCATGTAGTGCATCAGTCCTGTTGCATGGCTGTCTTCCCCCTGTGCGTCTTCACATCACCTTCCCTCCATGAACGTCTATGTTCAGCTCTCCCTTTTGATAGAAACACCAGTCACATTGGATTAGGACCCAGCTTAATGTCCTTATTTTAACTTGGTTGCTTCTGTAATGAACTTATTTCCAAATAAGGCCACATTTTGAAGTATAGGGGGTTAGGACCTCGACATACCTTTAGTGGGAAAAAGATTCATGTCATAACACCTGCTAAATGTGACTGGATTAACTATTCAAGTGGAGCTATTAAGTGGGGAAATTGGATGGATATATTGTCCATTTGGCCTTCATCCAGCTTTTTAAAATCCATGTATGATAAGCATCTTCAGGCATACAGATTGTTCTGTATTTTGAATTTTGTGTGGGAATACATTTTCAAAAGAAGACAGCTCTTAATATATGTCATTAAAATATTTTGAAGAATTGTGATGCCAATGATAAAATTACTGTTCTACAGGGGAGGAGGATATAATGACTTAAAATGCAGACAGATTTATGTATGGAGCAACAGGAAGTAAAGAATTCCTAACTTCTGGCCTCCATTTTCTTGATAGAGTATATTTTCCTTCTGGCACTACTAGACACGGATTAAGCAATAGTTTAGCTTGGATTTCTAAGTGTAATAGCATTAGGTTAGATGGTTCCATAACCTCAGAAAGCCGTAGAATCTCATTCTGATGTACATAAAGTACATACACACTCATTTTATTAAAATGAGATTGCCAATACATTTTGTTTTAGATCTCGGAGATGTCACTCCTTTATTCTTCTATTCACTCATTTTCATTTAAAAATATTTTTTAGTTTCTATTATGTCTCAGTCACTATACTAGATGCTCGATTTCAATAGGGAATAAGACAAATTAGCTGTGAAGCAATACTCAGGCAATTAAATATGACAAGTACTAGTGTGTGGTTAAGACCAGGGTGCTTTTAAGGTCTGCAGAAATGGCACCTAACAGTTTTGGGGGTTGTGAGAGTGTTTTTTTGGAGAAAGAGATTTAGGAAATAACATACAGATGCTACAAATAAAATACTGATAACATTAAAAATATATTCTCTATTTTAGTGCTGCAATAGTATTTTCTACACTTACACTTCTCCAGGATTCAAAACTTTTTCAAAAGAAAGTAGTACAGGAGGACACAGAGAATCCTGTCTCTCCAGGAACTTCTGTAAGTGTGACTTAATGCTGTACTTACAATATTTATCATATAAGAACTATTGGCATGCTAGGAAATTGTCTAATTATTTAGATGAAGCAAAGAAGTAAAGTAGAAAAAACACTGAATTTGGAGTAAAAAGATTTAGGTCCTATTAATGCTATTTATTTATTGGTATACTTTGGACAAATCTCTTAATTAAAAAAAGTTTAATCTCATTTGTGCACTGATGGAATAGGGATATAATAATTACTAAAGTCCCATCCAAAGTCCCAGATGTACCATTATATTAATCTAGCTTTGATCTACCTAGCAAATAAGGTTGTTTCCCAAGACTGGCTCCTCATTCCACTTTTGAATTTATCGCCTTAGCGTTGCCAGTCAGCTACCAGTGCTGTTTCCTGGTTTGGACTCCCCATTGTTAGAATCTTCTGTTTAAGCTCTCAAATCTGACAACCAATGTCACATATTCTGTGACTGGGCTCTGATAAGACCAAGTAATTTAACAACACAGGATTGTTGAGGACTGAAATATAAAGATTCATCACATAGAACTCTTGCTCATTATTTCAAGCATTACTAATAAAATTGCTAATATCTAGCATCATTACAAATTAGCAAAATTAATTGTCCTCAATACTCATTTCTTACTATATTAAAAGCAACAAAAATGCTAAAAAGCAATCCAATTCTAAAAATTGACTTAGAATAAGGATTGTCAACTGGGGGTGATTTTGCCTCCAAGGGGAAATTTGGCAACGTCTGGAGATATTTTAGGTTGTCACAACTGGGTGAATGGGGTGCTACTGGCATCTACCAGCTAGAGGCAGGGAAGCTGCTAAACTTCCTATAATCTACAGGACAGCTCTCCACAACAGGTATCAGGCCCAAACTATGTCAGTAGCGCTGAGGTTGAGAAATGCTGATTGAGATTAATGTGACCTGGCTTTTCATTAGTGACAGGAAGTCTGAGCATTGAATGATTAAGTTATATTGACGGCATTTTTTTTTTTTTTTTTGTATTGCTAATCTACATGCTAGACTCTTTGAGTACTTTTTGTGCCCATTCAAATCACCATCCTGTCTCTGGGCCTCTGTTGGCTGCTTACTCTTGTTTTTTTTTCTTTTTTGAGGTGGAGTCTCACTCTGTTGCCCAGGTTGGAGTGCAGTGGTGCCATGTTGGCTTACTGTAACATCCGCTTCCTGGGTTCAAGCAACTAATTCTCCTGTTTCGGCCTTCTGAGTAGCTGGGATTACAGGAAACTGCCTCCACGTTTGGCTAATTTTTGTATTTTTAGTAGAGACAGGGTTTCACCATATTGGTCAGGCTGGACTTCAACTCCTGACCCCAGGTGATCCACCCACCTCGGCCTCCCAGAGTGCTGAGATTACAGGTGTGAGCCACTGTACCCAGCTTGTCAACTGCTTACCCTTGTTTCCAGGGAACAGTTAGCCCTACTCTTCCTGTACTTCCCTCCTGCATTGGAGCCCCTTTAGGCTCTATTAGCTACTGTTGGCTAGCATGTGTTGCTGATTGGCTGGACATGAGGAGCTGTTAGAGATGCATAGCAGGAAATACTTAGAACAAATGGTAGTTGTTCTAAACAATTTTAAAGTTTCCAGTGTCTGAGATGGACTCCACTCCCCCCAAAATAGCTTTCTTTGCACATTCCTCCTAGCCCTCTGGACATTTTTCACCACTTTGTAAAGTGTAATATTGAGGGTGGCAAATTAATTATGATACCTGTTTGGAATATGAGCAGCACACAGCAACAGGACACAGTGGATTAAGACTGTGGACTCTAAAGGCAGGAAGACACAAATTGGAATCCCACCTCTGTCAAAATATGACAGTGTTTAGGCAAGATAGTTAACCTTCCTAGGTCTCAGTTCTCCCAACTGTAAAATGGAAATGATTACAATACCTCTTGGCTGTTAGGAGGATTAAATGAGGTAATATATACAGAGCATGTAGCACAGTACCTGACACATAATAACTACATGAATATTAGTGTATATTATTTATTTTTTAGCCCGTAAAATGGCGTTTACAGAAACTTTTAGTGACATAGAAATTGCTGATAATATAATTTGCAATGAGAAATTCACACTACAAAACCATTTTTCAAGAATGGGTAGAGAGAGAAAAGGAAAGCTGAAAAGCAATGTGCTAAAATCTTAAAGAGGATTCTTGGATTGTGGGTGATTTTGTTTTGAGTATTTTTAAATAGTTTATAAAATGTACAATAATAATTTCTAATTTAAAATTTTAATACTCTGAAATGATACAGATGCCTTTTTTTAACTTACATTACATTTAGTCTTAGGCTAGAAACTTGACATTATTCAATGGGAAGATAACCATCATTTTAATACTGTTTAGGCCACTGACAATAAAGATGACAGTGAGTGTTTAGATCCTATTTCCCTTAATGCCCGAGAATATTTCAACATTCATCTGTGGTTGAGGTGCCGCTCAGCGCTGGTGACTGCGTTTGTTGCACAGATTCATGGCATTGGAATTGTAAAAGGTACAAATATCTTATTTGCTTAATCAATGTTTTCATAAAAATTAATTTTACATAGGTGAAGAGGGGTTTATTGGGATATATCATGTTAACATTTTATAATTTTCTAGCTTGATCTGCTTATGGAATTAAAAATTCAGATTATTAATATATAAGAATATTTTTGACAGTCCTTTGTATCATTGAAAGTCCCATAGATCTTACTAACATATGCAAAACAGGTAAAGCAATTTCAAAATACAAATGCCCAGGTCTTCTTGTCATCTAGGAAGGCAACTAAGTGTAGAGGTGAAGAGCACAGATTACTGGAGCCAATCCACTTGAGTTCAAATATTGGATCCACCACTTCTTGCCAAGCTTTTCTTGGCCAAGTCTCTTAAATCCCCTGTTACTCAGTTTCCTGCCCTGTAAAATGGAGGCAGTTGTATCTACTCTATAGGATTATTGTCAGAATTAAATGGGTTAAATGTATGATGTTCTTAGATCACAGCTTGGCACAGGTAAATGTTAGTACTTGCAGTGATTAATCATTATCTATTTGTATACCTATCTATTCACTCATTTCTATTGACCTTCCAAATTAAATTATCTCATGCAATATCATTTTTGCAGCACGGGAAAATCCTCAAGTACCTTCCCCCAAATTACAACACATTTCTTTTCCATGTTTCATGCAGAGTCTTTAAGTTTTCCATCTTAATATACTCCCCTGTTCTTTGATATTATACAATATTTCTATGATTAAAATTGGGGGTATACATGGATATACACATGGATAACTTCTTACTTCCTCAGTGCATTTTAAATAACCACATTTGTTTATTTTAGAGGATGATATGACAGATTGCCTGAGCCTCATCAATGAAGTGTGTATGGAGGCAAAAAGTGCAGGCGACACGGAACTGCAGGCTGAATTATTGACGCAAGCTGTAATTCTTGGCCTACAAGAAAAGCATTTAAAGGCGGACATCATAACAAAACTTCAGGTAGAAAGGAAACTTTGTTCATATTTATAGTCAGGGAGGGATTCCAGTTAGAACAAAAGGAGGGAATTTCAAATTTCATTAGGTACCGAATGCATAACAATGAACATGGCCAGCTCTTATTTCAGTGAATTGGAAACAGTACTATCAATATGAATAATTTTATTTTAATAGGATATAATACATTTGCTGGAAGGAAATGAATTTATTTCTCCTCAATCACGGCTAACTCTGGCAAGAAGCCTTGTTTTACTGGATGACTTAACCAAAGCTGAGAAATTCAAGGAATCTCCCTTTTCAAAAACAGGAAAATTAAATTTGTTGACTCAGGCTCACAGTATTCTAACTGAACAGGTGAGGATGCTTTTGTGTCTGTAAGACTTAGAAATTTACTTTTCTCTCTTTCTTCTTGTTCCAAACCACGTCAACTAATTGCTCATTTCATTTTTTTTTAATAGATGCTAACTTTTGGAGAAACAATTGAATTTCCTTCATCAAACACTAAATATGCAAATCCATTAGAGCCTTTGAAAAATATCTATCTTCCCCATGTCATGTTATTGGCCAAAATAAAAATGAGAATTGGTAAGAACATTTAAATTTATATTACACTAAAATAACTGATAAATTTTTTTTCTATACTTTAAGTTCTGGGGCACATGTACAGATATGCAGCTTTGTTACCTAGGTATACATGTGCCGTGATGGTGGTTTGCTGCATCCATCACCCCATCATCTACATTAGGTATTTCTTCTAATGCTATCCCTCCCCAATGCTCCTACCCTCTGCTATTCCTCCCCTATTCTCCCACCCCTCAGGCCCTGTGTATGATGTTCCCCTCCCTGTGTCTGTGTGTTCTCATTGTTCAACACTGACTTATGAATGAGAACACGTGACGTTTGGTTTTCTGTTCTTGTATCAGTGTACTGAGAATGATGGTTTCCAGTTTCATCCATGTACTTGCAAAGGACATGAATTCATCCTTTTTTATGGCTGGATAGTATTCCATGGTGTATATGTGCCACATTTTCTTTATCTAGTCTATCATTGAGGAGCATTTGGGTTGGTTGCAAGTCTTTGCTATTGTGAACAGTGCTGCAATAAACATATGTGTGCATGTGTCTTTGTAATAGAATGATTTATAATCCTTTAGGTATATACCCAGTAATGGGGTTGCTGAGTCAAATGGTATTTCTAGTTCTAAATCCTTGAGGAATTGCCACATTGTCTTCCACAATGGTTGAATTAATTTACACCCCCACCAATAGTGTAAAAGCATTCCTATTTCTCCACATCCTCTCCAGCATCTGTTGTCTCCTGAGTTTTTAATGATCGCCATTGTAACTGGTGTGAGGTGGTATCTCAATGTGGTTTTGATTTGCATTTCGTTGATGACCAGTGATAATGAGCTTTTTTTCATGTTTGTTGGCTACATAAATGTCTTCTTTTGAAAAGTGTCTGTTCATATCCTTTGCCCACTTTTTGATGTGGTTGTTTTTTTTCTCATAAATTTGTTTAAGTTCTCTGTAGATTCTGGATATTAGCCCTTTGTCAGATGGGTAGATTGCAAAAATTTTTTCCCGTTCTGTTGGTTCCTGGTTCACTCGATTGTTAGTTTCTTTTGCTGTGAAGAAGCTCTTAAGTTTAATTAGATCCCACTGGTCTATGATGGCTTTTGTTGCCAGTGCTTTTGGTGTTTTAGCCATGAAGTCCTTGACCATGCCTATATCCTGAATGGTATTGCCTAGGTTTTCTTCTAGAGTTTTTATGGTGTTAGGCCTCATGTTTAAATCTTAAATCCATCTAGAGTTAATTTTTATATAAGGTGTAAGGAAGGGATTCAGTTTCAGCTTTCTGCATCTGGCTAGCCAGTTTTCCCAGGATTCACATTTATTAAATAGGGAATCCTTTCCCCATTGCTTGTTTTTTGTCAGGTTTGTGAAAGATCAGATGTTTGTAGTTGTGTGGTATTCTTTCTGAGGCCTCTGTTCTGTTCCATTGGTCTACATCTCTGTTTTGGTACAAGTACCTTGCTGTTTTGATTACTGTAGCCTTGTAATATAGTTTGAAGTCAGGTAGTGCGATACCTCCAGCTTTGATATTTTTTGTGCTTAGGATTGTCTTGGCTATGCAGGCTCTGTTTTGGTTCCATATGAAGTTTAAGATGTTTTTTTCCAGTTCTGTGAAGAAAGTCATTGGTAGCTTGATGGGCGGATAGCATTGAATGTGTAAATTACTTTGGGCAGTATGGACATTTTCATGATATTGAGTCTTCTTAACCACGTTTTTCCATCTGTTTGTGCCCTCTCTTATGTCCTTGAGCAGTTGTTTGTAGTTCTCCTTGAAGAGATCCTTCATTCATATCCCTTGTTAGTTATATGCCTAAGTATTTTATTCTCTTTGTAGCAGTTGTGAATGGGAGTTCACTCATGATTTGGCTGTTTGTCTATTATTGGTGTATAGGAATGCTTGCAGTTTTTGCACATTGAACTGAAGAAAAATTTTAAGTCATTTTTAGGCAGACTATCATATGAGTACATTTAAAAGGGGCAATATTTATGAATACTCAGGCTCCATTTATTTAACCAATAGTTTTTGATCACTTGCCATATGCCAGACTGTGTGATGTATAGATGGTCTTTATACATGAATAAAGTATGTGGTAGATTACCATAATAAAACATGTATAACTCCTTGGTTTAGACTATTAACAGTTTATCCAGTTAATCAATCTTTTGGATTAAAACTATAACCACCTAATTTACTTTAAAATTACTGTGCAATTTGGCAACTTTTACAGACTCCTACAAACACAAAATACATTTCTTTTTTTTTTCTAATTTTATTGCATTTTAGGTTTTGGGGTACATGTGAAAAACATGCAAGATTGTTGCATAGGCACACATGTGGCAGTGTGATCTGCTGCCTTCCTCCCCATCACCCACATCTAGCACTTCTCCCCATGCTATCTCTCCCCAACTCCCCTCCCCTCCCTCCACTGTCCCTCCCCTATTTCCCCCCAACAGACCCCAGTGTGTAGTGCTCCCCTCCCTGTGTCCATGTGTTCCCATTGTTCAACACCCACCTATGAGTGAGAACATGTGGTGTTGATTTTGTGCTCTTTTTTTGTTCACTAAATTGTTATCTAGCATATTTAGATTATAACTAACTGGTAAAGAAGATTTTGGAAAAAATGTGTAAAAATGTATTATATATTTTATAACTGATACTATGAAGTACTTATACCTTTGAAAATGCTAACTTAATGGCTGTGGACAAAATAGTAGTATTTTTTATTATTTATTTTCTTTCTTCAACTTTTAAGTTCAGGGGTACATGTGCAGGATGTGCAGGTTTGTTATATAGCTAAATGTGTGCTATGATGGTTTCTTGCACAGAGCTTCACATCACCTAGGAATTAAGCCCAGCATTCATTGGTCGTTCTTCCTGATGCTCTCCCTACCCCCATACCCCCAAGAGGTCCCAGTGTATGTCATTCTCCCCCACATGTCCATGTGTTCTCATCATTCAGCTCCCACTTATAAGTGAGAACATGTGGTGTTTGGTTTTCTGTTCCTATGTTATTTGCTGAGGATAATGGCTTCCAGCTCATCCATAGAACATGATCTCATTCCTTTTTATGGCTGCATAATATTCCATGGTGTATATGTACCACATTTTCTTTATCCAGTCTAACATCGGTGGGCATTTAGGTTGATTCCATATGATTATGGGTATTATGAATAGTGCTGTAGTGAACATATTCGTGCATGTATCTTTAGAATAGAATGATTTATATTCCTTTGGGTATATACCCAGTAATGAGATTGCTGGGTCAAATGGTATTTCTGCCTCTAGTCTTTGAGGAATCACCACACTGTCTTCCACAATGGTTGAACTAATTTACACTGCCACCAACAGAGTAATAGCATTTCTTTTTCTCTGCAACCTAGCCAGCATCTGTCATTTGTTGACTTTTTAATTATAGCCATTCTGACTGGCATGAGATAGTATCTCATTGTGGTTTTGATTTGCATTTCTCTAATGATCAGTGATAGTGAGCTTTTTTTCATGTTTATTGGCTGCATGCATGTCTTCTTTTGAAAAATGTCTGTTTATGTCCTTTGCCCACTTTTTAATATGTTTTTTTTTTCTTGTAAATTTGTTTGAGTTCTTTGTAGACTCTGGATATTAGGCTTTTGTCATATTTTCTCCCATTCTGTAGGTTGTTCACTCTGATGGTAGTTTATTTCACTGTACAGAAGCTCTTTAGTTTAAATAGATCCCATTTGTCAATAAAAAATAGCTTAAATAAATGTGTTAAGCTGAAAAGCAATATGCTAAAATGTTAATAGAGGATTATTTCAGTCTCTCTTCTGCTTCATAGGTTGCTGATTCAATCCTTTTCTCTTTCTTTTTAAGTGTTTTCCTCAGATTATATACTGATTCCCTGTTCTCTCTGCAAATACCTTTCTTGCACTCTGACAGGTGAATGATGTGCTCTCAACTCAATGCCAGAATCTTTGGGTGTGGCTGTTTTTTCTCAGGGTTTGTTAGAGATTATTCCATCATGTCTAGCTTTGAGTGTTTCAAATGAGAATTACAGCATCAGTCTAATTTTGTTTTCTTTTGGTAAGAAATTTGTTCTTTCTGTCTGAAAACTTACAAGGTTTTCTCTTTTGTCTCTGTAGTTCAGGAATTTTACCAGCATATGTCTGGGTATGTCTTGTTTCTCTGCCTAGAAATCAGTGAACACTTTCAATCTGCAGATAAGTCTCTTTCCAGCTGTCAGGAAGTTTCTTCTTGCTTAATTATTGCCTAGTCACTCTCTGTTCTTTCTTCTCCTTCAGTTACTAGTACATCAAGAGCCATCTGGCCTAGGTTCAAATCTTAAGCATGTGACTTAACTTTTTTGTGCCTTAATTTCCTTATTTCAAAAATGGGAGTGTCTTAGTCTGTTTGACTGCTATAACAAAATACCTTAGACTGGGTAATTTATAAACAGCAGAAACTTATTGCTCACAGTTCTGGAGTTTGGGAAGTCCAAGAGAATAATGCAGTGGTAGATTTGGTGTCTGGTGAGGGATGGCTCTGCTTTATAGATGGCACCTTCTGTATGTCCTTATGTGGTGGAAGGGACAGATGGGCTTTCTCAAGTTTGTCTTTTATAAGAAGAAGTTTGTCTTATTGTCTTTTATAAGGACAGTAATTTCATGCAGGAGGGCAGAGCCCTCATGACCTAATCACCTCCCAAAGTCTCCACCTCTTAATAGCATCATTGTGGGGATTACGTTTCAACATATGAATTTCAAAGAGACACAAATATTCAGGGGATAATAATGGCATTTACCTGATAGGAGTGTTAAGAAGATGAGTTAAATGCTTAGACCAGTGCCTGGACCATCATTGTAAGCACTGTTGAGTGTTGACTATTATTATTTATATGTCAAGTCTTGATCTGTCTTCTGAGTCTATTATGTTTTCCCTTACATTTTCCATTTATTTTTATCATCTATAACTTGAACTACTTCCACTTGATCTTTCTGACCATTAGGTTTCAGCATTGACCATCTTCTCAAAATTATCTGAAAACTTTATATCTCTATACATGCTCTTATTTTTTTTTTTGATTTGTCACCTGAACTTGAATCAGTTTTGTTTTACTACTGCCACCTTTTCTGGGGGTTATATTTATTCTTCCTCCTGCCAGCTGCTGGATCTTCTTTACTGGGCTATTTTACTTTATCTGTTTATTGAGGGTCATGTCTAGCTGTTGGATTAATTTCAGTAGCAGCCACGCTCAAGTGGTGGTTAAGAACAACTAGTTCTGCCTATATGGGTTGGCTCTATACTAGACTTCAAAAGTTTGATTCCCTGTAAGGCACCAGGAGAAGCAGCAAAGGCCAATATTTAGTTTCAGGAGTAGAGAGGACTCAGGACACCTTCAAGCCCCTCACAGGTCCTGGGAAACCAAGAAGGCAGCCAGCCAGAGCTGTCACTCTTTGGAGATGGAGGCCTTATTCCAAGCTCTTTTTGGATGCTGTCCCTGATCTTTTATCTAAGGCCGCCTGCCTCTGGTTCCCAGGCTCTTGTCCATCCCAGAGTGCAGAAGATCCTGTACCAGCTCTGTCTGTTCTTACCCCTCACCTTCTAGGACCCACCTGCCTCCTGCAGCAGCAGCAGCAGCAGCAGCTCTGGAGAGGCTAATCCTTGCATTGGATTGGGAAAGGGAGGGCAGCAAGGACATGCCCAAGCTATCAACTGTCTAGAATCTCCTACCTCCCGCTCCGTTCCTCCCTCTCATTATTATTATTGATCATTGTTATTGGATGTTGATCATCATCGGATATGAATTTTATTACTTTACATAAATTACTTCCCCTTTATATTAAGTTTCCTCCTTTATGAAGTTAGGTTGACTTAATTGGCCTCTTGAATTCCTTCCAGCTTGCTGATCTCATGAGAGCTATTCTTCTGTATTTTCAGCCCACAATTTCTTACATTATCAGGACATTTGATTTCCACAGGAGTTTCAAGTACGGATTGTATTAAATTGTACAGATTGTGTTAAATGAAATGTATTCTGCACTTTTCTGACTTCCTAATCTTGAGGATGTGTCACCACTCAATGACAATACTGTTGCTGTGTTTTAGACTCACTTGAGGCTGAACAGCTTGCTTCCTGGTATATTATATTAAACACAGACTTAAAAAACAAAACCCAAAGCAGCTTTTCTGTCAAAACGACATCAGTTTTACAACGTCTTTTTCACAGCGTTGATGTTTACTGGAAAAAGGAGCACTTAAATATTATAAGGCACAAAATCAGCTGTGACTTGATGCTTTCTTGACAGTTTTCCTTTATAGGATAGATTGTCTCACACGAATGGGCCACTTAAAATTTTTTTTCTCTGTGGAAGTCTCTGGCAGAAAAAGGCATTTTGAGATTATTTTTAGAAGATAAAAATAAACATCATGGTTTTAAAATATTTTTTAAATTAATGACTGAAACTTCAGCTTCCTTATTATAAGTAATCAGTGGATTACTGGTTGTATGATAGGAGTGAATGAGTTACTTACATTTTTTTGTTGTTTTTTCAATCAGGGCCACTAATTGAATAAACATAAAAAATGTAAGTAACTTTCATTAATTGAGGGCCACTTATATGCAAGAATGATGCTGGCAAGTGGGAACATACTAGGAAGCCAGTCATCATCTCTGCTCTCAAGAAGCCTATTATCTAGTTAGGGAGGAAGAGAAAGTAGTTCATAATTTCTGTAACTATTCTAATTTTAACAAAAACCTAGAAGACAATTCAAGTGTTACTATTATATATTCATTAAATCATACCATATGATATCATATGGCACTAATATATAGTATAAAGTATATAATACTAATACCTATTATATATACATATATGTGGCATGATGACATGAAGTATTTGTTATTTTTGTCTTATATTGATAAACAGCTTTAGTATAATTTGAAACAATAAGTGAATTATACAAAAAAGGGGGATGTTGAAATATGGTTGTGTTCAACAAGTGATATTAGCATATCTTTTATTTCCCTTCTAGCCTGGGATCTAGTCACAGTTGATCATTGTTGAGATTAAGAGTGTTGGCTCCAGAAAAGAATTCTCACTCAATTCAATTCCTTTGAACAAGTCATTTAACTTCCCTTGTTTTCCTTTCCTCTCCCATAAAACGTGAGTGAGCGTCAATGTCATTGGCCGCTGGGATGGCGTGAGTGGCAAGCATAACATATTTAGAAGGGCACCTCCTCGCATGTTGTAAGAGCTTTGTAGGTGTTTGCTATTCTTCCTGTTCCATGGCTGGCCTCCTTATTCTTCTGGGAGTGTCCCGGAAGCTAGGGCTTTTCATCTCCATAATCTTTTTCTCCATATTCACTTTTTCATCTCTGTATTCTCATCAGTGTGCTGCCATCCTGCCAAGTTCAGAGTAAGGACTCAGTAACTTCTTCTGTGTGTGTGTGTGTGTGTGTGTGTGAGAGAGAGAGAGAGAGAGAGAGAGAGACAGAGATTGAGGCTCTCCACCATTTACATAGCACATTCCTGAATTAAAAGTTCACCCAAAAGTTGTAGGTTAAAAAAATATATATCCTTTGTAGGGCATAGCAGTTTGGAATTAGAAAATTTAGAACCTAAAGATACCTCACAATTTTGTAGTTCTGCTGCATTTTATTTTTTAGCATTTAGTATCCAAGAAATGTTTTAAAGAAGTATAATATCCAATATTTCAATCATTTTTTCAGAGGAAGACACTCAAAGCTTGGAGGCATATGGGGACTTGTTCAAAGTCTCACTGACATGGTAGCACCAATGACTGGCCTGGATCCAGTACTTCAGCTACAATGCAGAATCTGTGCAGAATACTGTATCAGAGTCCTACACTGCCTTTCTGTTCATATTGCTTTATTGTGTGTTGAATTATCCTATCAACAAATTATTTCCCCTACTCGCCTTCTCCTCTCTATGCCAACATTTTTGTTCTTTAAAATTACCAGAGGAGGTGTTCATCTGCTTTCAGCCTAGACAGCCACATTCTCTGGGAAGGTTTCCCTGACCTTCCCCAATCTGGGCCTGCTATCAAAGTGCCCTGTGCTTTCTCTGCTACACAATTGGCCATGCAGTATTTTGATTGCCTGTCTAGCTATTCATACTCTCCATTAAACAAAACACTAAGCTCCTTGACCTTCCTCTTAAGAGACAGTGCAGTGTTGTAGTTTAGAGTGTGGGCCCTGGAGCCAGACTGCCTACGTTCAAATTATGGCTCTTCTCTTTACTAGCCATCTAACCATGGGCGAGTTACTGAAACCCCAGTGAGCTATTGCTTCATCCTCTGTCAAATAAGCTGGATAAGGGTGCCCACGCAGAGTTGCGGGTTTCATATGAGTAATGCATTTAAGTCCTTCCAATGATGCCTGGTGTGTAGGACACATTTAATAAATCTTAGCTGTTATTATTGTCTTTTCTCATTTTTATCATGTACCTAAGCACTTAGAAAATATTTGTTGAATAAGTGTATGCCTGTCTGACTTGGGAGTTACACAGATAAAGTCTAATGTTTCTTCCATACAATGGTTTTTAAAGTAAAAACATGTTAAATAATGATGGGGCCTAAGAAGAAGAAGTATAGCATGTAACCCTTGTCCATGATGGGTTTGCTGTCTAGTGGAGATGAAAAACAAGACAAAACGAAACAAAACACACAAAACAAGTAACCACTGTAATGCTTAATAGAAAGAAAATTACTGCCTATTAATATTTGCAAGTTGTATTGGGAACAACATACAATTTCCAGGTGTTTCCCTACTCACAACCTCATCTTAGCAGCATGAAAGTTGTTTTGTACGGCATCGTGAAATTTTAGAAGGAAAAGGATTTGCGAGACTATCCTTCACTTAAAAAATAAGAAAACAGGCCGGGCGCGGTGGCTCACGCCTGTAATCCCAGCACTTTGGGGGCCGAGGCGGGTGGATCACAAGGTCAAGAGATCGAGACCATCCTGGTCAACATGGTGAAACCCCATCTCTACTAAAAATACAAAACATTAGCTGGGCATGGTGGCACGTGCCTGTAATCCCAGCTACTCAGGAGGCTGAGGCAGGAGAATTGCCTGAACCCAGGAGGCGGAGGTTGCAGTGAGCCGAGATCGTGCCACTGCACTCCAGCCTGGGTAACAACAGCGAAACTCCGTCTCAAAAAATAAATAAAAAAAATAAAAAAAATAAGAAAACATGTTAGAAATTTATCAAAGAAAAAATTTCAAAGGGTTATTACTGTAGTTCATTGAAATATTGGATATTATTTGTCTTTAAAACAGTTCTTGGATGCTAAAAACTACCAAAGTTCTTAATAGAGTTCATTACTGTGAGAGCAGTGTGGTAACTTCGAGGCTTGTTATAAATGCTGTGTATTTTGTTGTTCTTCCCCCCGTCAACTGTTTTTCTTTTAGGACACACAGTGGCCAAGCAAGTATATTATAACAATAAAAGGAAGGACCCTTCGAAGTGGTTGCCTGCTCTTCATCTGTTCGACGTGGCACTGAAGCTCTGCAAAACAGCAGCAGCCGAGGAACAGGAGGTAGAAGCTGAAATCCTTTTTCAGAAAGGTAAAATGCATCTGGGATCAGAACTGTGATAAAATTTGTGGAATTCTTTTTTCTATGAACAATAGGATTCTTGAAAACCTGGTCCCTAACTATAAAAATTGCAGATGTACAAAGGGCTTAGAGATGATTCACACAATGGTATCTCCACCAAATCCAGTCTTAGGTAAAAGAACACTGCTTATTTTAAGTTTATATCTATAAAGAAAAAAGTACTGCTACCTCATTTCTTTTATTATTATAACTGATTCTTCTTATACAAAGTTTCATGTTTGAAAAATGGCAACATAGCCTCTTAGCTATAAATAATATTTCTTAAAAAGATATTTTTTCTGCATAATTTCATTACTTAGCTAAACATTTTGTTTGATTTTTATAAGTAAGAGATACTGTACATACTCATTGAAATTAAATAGCTATAGCACACCTATACTTACAACTTATATATAACACCTGTTAATACATTTATATAATTTTATTGTGGCCATTTTGCCTTTGAGAAAAACAAAGATGGGGATAATTTCTATCATTTGCTGAGTATCTACTAGATACCTAGGCCCCGTATTCAACATGTTACATCTCACAGTGCTAATTCTTACAATAGCTCTGCAAGGTAGGCATGACAAATCCCTCTTGACGATGAGGAAAATTAGGTGAGGTCTGGTTAAAATGATTTTCCAAAAGTCAACAGTTACTAAATGATAGTGCCCAGATGCGAGCTCAACACTGGCCAGCTCTGTGCCCTCTCCACGGGCTGCATGAAAGCAATAAATCCTTTCTACAGTGATTATAGAAGTTTCCCTTCCTTTCCTTTTTGCTACCCCTGTGCTCTGCCAGTGTACAGTGTGTACATTCTTTTTTCTTTTTTTGAGATGGAGACTCATTCTGTTGCCCAGGCTGAAGTGCAGTGGCATGATCTTAGCTCACTGAAACTGCTGTCTCCCAGGTTCAAGCAATTCTGCCTCAGCCTCCTGAGTAACCGGGACCACAGGTGTGCACCACCACGTGGGCGTGGCTAATTTTTGTATTTTTAGTAGAGACGGGGTTTTACTCTGTTGGCCAGGCTGGTCTTGAACTTCTGACCTCCAGCATCCACCCGTGTGGGCCTCCCAAAGTGCTGGGATTACAGGTGTGAGCCACCGCGCCTGGCCTGCTAGTGCCTACATCTGAAGGCCGCAGCTCACTGTGAGGGCTGGGAGCTGTGACGGCCAGCACATTTGCAGTATCATTGAGAATTTTCAACCATTTGCTGACTTTTTAGAATTTATTTTTTCCCTTTTGATTTGTGATTATATTTATTTATTTTTAAGTTAAACGGTTTTTAAAAATTATTATTATACTTTAAGTTCTGTGGTACATGTGCAGATTGTGCAGGTTTGCTACATAGGTATACACGTGCCATGGTGGTGGTTTGCTGCATCTGTTGCCCTGTCATCTACATTAGGTACTGCTCCTAATGCTATCCCTCCCCAATACCCCACTGCCTGCTATTTCTCCCCTATCCCCCCAACCCCCAGGCCCTGGTGTGTGATTTTCCTCTCCCCATGTCTGTGTGTTCTCATTGTTCAACACCCACTTATGAGTGAGAACATGTGGTGGTTGGCTTTCTGTTCTTGTGTCAGTTTGCTGAGAATGATGGTTTCCAGTTTCATCCATGTACCTGCAAAGGTCATGAACTCATCCTTTTTTTATGGCTGCATAGAATTCCATGGTGTATATGTGCCACATTTTCCTTATCCAGTCTATCATTGATGGGCATTTGGATTGGTTGCAAGTCTTTGCTATTGTGAACAGTGCCACAATAAGCATATGTCTGCATGTGTCTTTATAATAGAATGATTTATAATCCTTTGGGTATATACCCAGTAATGGGATTGCTGGGTCAAATGGTATTTCTAGTTCTAAATCTTTGAGGAATCGCCACACTGGCTTCCACAATGGTTGAATTAATTTACACTTCCACCAACAGTGTAAAATAATTCCTATTTCTTTACATACTCTCCAGCATCAGTTGTCTTCTGATTTTTTAATGATTGCCATTGTAACTGGTGTGAGGTGGTATCTCAATGTGGTTTTGATTTGCATTTCTCTGATGACCAGTGATGATGAGCTTTTTTTCATGTTTGTTGGCTGTAAAAATGTCTTCTTTTGAAGTGTCTGTTCATATCCTTTGTCCACTTTTTGATGGGGTTGTTTTTTTCTCATAAATTTAAGTTCTCCATAGATTCTTGATAGTAGCCCTTTGCCAAACGGGTAGATTGCAAAAATTTTTTCCCACTCTGTTGGTTCCCAGTTCAGTCTATTGATAGTTTCTTTTGCCGTGAAGAAGCTCTTAAGTTTAATTAGATCCCACTGGTCTATGATGGCTTTTGTTGCCATTATGGCTTTTGGTGTTTTAGTCATGAAGTCCTTGCCCATGCCTATATCCTGAATGGTATTGCCTAGGTTTTCTTCTAGGGTTTTTACGGTGTTAGGCCTCATGTTTAAATCTTTAATTAATCTAGAGTTAATTTTTGTATAAGGTATAAGGAAGGGATTCAGTTTCAGCTTTCTGCATCTGGCTAGCCAGTTTTCCCAGGATTCCCATTTATTAAATAGGGAATCCTTTCCCCATTGCTTGTTTTTGTCAGGTTTGTGAAAGATCAGATGGTTGTAGTTGTGTGGCATTCTTTCTGAGGCCTCTGTTCTGTTCCATTGGTCTATATCTCTGTTTTGGTACAAATACCATGCTGTTTTGATTACTGTAGCCTTGTAATATAGTTTGAAGTCAGGTTGCATGATGCCTCCAGCTTTGATATTTTTTTGTGCTTAGGATTGTCTTGGCTATGCAGGCTCTGTTTTGGTTCCATATGAAGTTTAAGGTGTTTTTTTCCAATTCTGTGAAGAAAGTCATTGGTAGCTTGATGGGGGGGATACCATTGAATGCATAAATTACTTTGGGCAGTATGGCCATTTTCACAATATTGATTCTTCTTAGCCATGAGCATGGGATGTTTTTCCATCTGTTTGTGTCCTCTCTTATTTCCTTGAGCAGTAGTTTGTAGTTCTCCTCGAAGAGGTCCTTCACATCCTTTGTTAGTTGTATTCCTAGGTATTTTATTCTCTTTGTAGCAGTTGTGAATGGGAGTTCACATATGATTTGGCTGTCTATTACTGGTGTAGGGGAATGCTTGCAATTTTTGCAGATTGATTTTGTATCCTGAGACTTTGCTGAAGTTGCTTATCAGCTTAAGATTTTGGGCTGAGACGATGGGGTTTTCTAAATATACAATCATGTCATCTGCAAACAGGGACAATTTGATGTCCTCTCGTCCTGTTTAAATACGCTTTATTTCTTTCTCTTGCCTGATGGCCCTAGCCAGAATTTCCAATACTATGTTGAATAGGAGTGGTGAGAGAGGGCATCCTTGTCTTGTGCCAGTTTTCAAAGGGAGTGCTTCTAGTTTTTGCCCATGTAGTATGATATTGCCTGTGGGTTTGTCATAAATAGCTTTTATTATTTTGAGATATGATCCACTGATACCTAGTTTATTGAGAGTTTTTAGCATAAAGGGAAAATTTTGTCGAAGGCCATCTCTGCATCTATTGAGATAATCATGTGGTTTTTGTCTTTGGTTCTGTTTATGTGATGGATTACGTTTATAGATTTGCAGATGTTGAACCAGCCTTGCATACGTGGGATGAGGCCGACTTGATCGTGATGGATAAGCTTTTTGATGTGCTGTTGGATTTGGTTTGCCAGTATTTTATTGAAGATTTTTGCAGCAATGTTCATCAAGGATATTGGCCTGAAATTTTCTTTTTTAGTTGTGTCTCTGCCAGGTTTTGGTATCAGGATGATGTTGGTCTCATAAAATAAGTTTGGGAAATTTTTTTTAAATATTAAAAATGTTTTCAATCTATTTTTAACTGACATAACAATTGTATATATTTATGGGGTATAATGTGATGTTTTTGATACATGTACACATTGTGACTTGATTAAATCAAGCTAATTAGCATATCCTTCACTTCATGTACTTACCATTTTTGTGGGGAGAGCATTTAAAATCTATGATTATTATTAATTATAGTCACCATGTTGTACAATAGGTCTTCAGAACTTACTCCTCCCATTTAACTGAAACCTTGTACCCTTTGACCAATATCTCCCTATTCCCCTACCATCCCTAACTTTTTAAGATTCTTCAGTTAAGTGAGATCATGCAATATTTGTCTTTCTGTGCCTGACTTATTTCACTGAGAATAACGTCCTTCAGGTTCATCCATGATGTTTGCAAATAACAGGATTTCTTTCTGTTTTAAGGCTGAATAGTATTCTGTTGTGTATATATATCATATTTTCTTTATCCATGCACCTGTTGAAGGGTACTTAGATTGATTCTGTATCTTGGCTATTGTGAATATGACCAAGGGGGGGCAATGACCATGGGAGGGCAGATGTTTTCTATGATATCTGTGAAGGAGACAGGGGAAAGAGGAGAATGGATGTCAAAAAAGGGAATGTAAGATACAGGAGGAGGGAGAAGCACAAAGTAAGAGAATGGGGAAAAAAGTTAGATGTGAAGACCAGTTGTGTAGGGCAAGCCAAAGGAAGCTTGCCTCATGTTGCTTCCTGAATGCAGGGGAAGCCTGAGAGTACCGGAGAAGGAGGCAATGGGTCTCTCCTTATTGGCTTACCTTCTGGAAGAAATAGACAGATATACATAAGGACAGCACACCAAATGCTCTGAATTTCCAGCCTGAAATATTTGTTCTTAAGTTCTAAGTGCTAGAAAAAGGAAAAACCATCTTTGTATCTTTTTCTTCTTTCAGGCAAAATAGAACGTCAAATACTAATGGAAGAGAAATCTCCAAGTTTTCAACTTGAGAGTTTATATGAAGCTATACAACTAAGCCTGAATAATGATCAAAACTCAGGGTAAAAAGATATTCCATTGTTGTGGCCATGTGTGTTTGGCTTGAACCCCATATTTTGGTAGTACACGGACCACTCAAGGCTGGATTGACTGGGAGGCCTTCTCAAAGCAAGGCTAGTTCACGGGGTCCATCTCAAGCTTGTTGCTCTTGGTTCTGACCCAAGGCCTCCTTTAAAGTAATGGTAAATGATGGCTGTCCTCATAGTGGCATACTGGCCTGTACCCAAATCTCGTGTTAGTACCAGGATTTCTGGGGCCTCCTTGGGATGACTGCTTCTCAACTGCAAGTTCCTTCCCTAAATGTGCAGTTGTGTCTAGAAGGGGTTTGTGTGGCTATTCACTCTGGTCATCAGGACCAGGACTGGTTAACTTAATTCTGTATGAATATCACCTCAATGTTGAGAGTAAGCCATCTTTATTACAATGGAAGTGATCCAAATGCACTGATCCCCAGCTGACAGATTTGATGGTGAATACATAGACCTAACCCATACCAAATCACTGCTTTCTGCATTGCATAATTCTTTGTATTTCTTTCTATTTTAATTAGTGTAGGAGCCTAGAGAGGGGCCTACATTTTCAAGGCAAGTTCTTCCAGCCCTGATCTTCACTTCTTTAGTGCCTTGTGTGCTAGAATATTCCAGAATGGTCTTGATGCCAGGTTTCATGACAGTCATAGTATGGAGTGTTGCCAGCACAGGAGAAGGTAGAATGCTAAAATTGGAAGTTCTCTTAAGAACTTCCAATTTTAGTGGGAGGAAGATGCTAGTATTTACGGTCAAAAGTGCTATGAAAAGAGGGTGGGTGTTTGTGACAAATGCTGGTTTTGCCAGTTTTTGCCTTTTATCAGCTTAGAAATTGTTGGCAAATGATGCCAATGATTATGCATGGTGAAGCTATTTAATAAGTACAGTGCTATATCATTTTAGATTGATAAGAGACTCCTACCTAGAAATGGCTCTATTGTATTTTCATCTGAAGAAGCCAAAAAGGAATATTTCAGGATCACCATTAACACTTAAGGTAAGAGTCTATTTTATTAGAAATTATGAGTTAATTGTCCTTGAGATTGCTATTTTGGTAACACTGTGCTATTGAAATAATGAGGCCGATTCTCCTGTGTGGCTTGGAGAAATTAATTCATTGCTTTGTAGTTACACTTGTAACTATGTGTTACAAAGACATATCTCTTTGGACATTTTATATAGGGCTTTGGAAATTATTTTCATGTACACATTTCTGCCTGTGAAAATGTTATCCATGAAATGTAAGTATATGTAATATATACTTAATATATAAATATACGCTTATGTTTCGTGGATAACATGAAGTGTAAATGCAAGGCAATGAATGAGTCATTAGTATTGATCAGGAAAATTCAATGACATATTGGTTAAACAGATAGACAAGTAAAGTTTTCAATACTGATATGGCCTATAAACAGATAACGTCTTGATAGAATCATTCATTCATTCATTCATCACATATCTATTGAGCATCTACTCTGATCCAGGCACTCTTCTAGAGTTAAAGCAGTGTCTAAAATAAACTTCGTCCCTGTTCTCATGGAGCATGCCTTTCAGTAGAGGAAAACGGATAATAAATCAGTAAAGGAAGGAGGCCAGAGGAGGAAAGGTGGGAGAAAATGAGGGAGAAGGAGGGAAAGGGGAGGTAGTAGTCCATTTTCACACTGCTAATGAAGACATACCCGAGAAGTTTAATGGACTCATTAAACTTCCATGTGGCTGGGCAGGCCTCACAATCTTGGTAGAAGGCAAAGGCACATCTTACATGGCAGCAGACAAAGAGAGAATGAGAACCATGTGAAAGGGGTTTCCTCTTATAAAACCATCAGATCTTGTGAGACTTATTCACTACCATGAGAACAGTAGGGGGAAACTGCCCCAATGATTCAATTATCTCCCCCCGGGTCCCTCCTACAACGTGTGGGAATTTTGGGAGCTACAGATTCAAGATGAGATTTGCATGAGGACACAGCCAAACCATATTAGGGGGTGACTTAGGTAATGAAATTTGGAGCTAAGAAATAACTCATATAGGTGAGATTTTGAATGAATGACATGAGAAGAGGTGATGTTTCAGGCAGGATTTGATGTAGGAGGTGGGAGCCAGCAAAGAGTTGTGGAGGGGTTGCACCTTCTAGCTAGAGCAGTGTTTCTAAACTAAGGTGCAGAAACATCTCTGAAAATCTTGTGAAATGACAGATTCTGATTCAGTAAATCAGGGGCAGGCTCTGAGATTTGGCATTTCTAATGAGCCTCCCAGGTGATGCTGATGTTGTTGGTCTGTGCGCCACACATGAGGACCAAGGGTCTAGATTAAGGGAGATCCCAGAGGCAGGAATAATTTGAGTGGGTTTTAGGTAAATGAACACAGTAATTTTGTTTTTTGTTTTTAAAATTTTAGTGGGCTTTTCTGTTTCATCCTTATTGAATAATCATTTGTCCCTCCAAGACATCTTTTCAGAAAATGTTGGCATCAAATCTTTAATTTTTGAGACAGCATAAACATGATTTAAAACGTTTAGGCAAATAGACTCTCAGTCAATTGAATTATTCATATGGAAGCTGCCTTAGGTGAATGGCACCTCTTTTTTTAATCAAAATAATTACAAACTTGAAAAAGTTACTTTTTGTTGTGTGATAAACATGTTTATTTCGAGTAACATAAAAAAAAACCCATTTATTTTTATAGCAGGTGGCAATACAAATTAATAGGATGCTAGGATGATAATGTATCACCTCTCTGGCCCTTACTGGAGAAGTGCTTATAATTGAGAACATAATGAAGTTAGGATTTGAATGAAAACAGTAATGTAATTGCTTACAATATGATCATTATTTTCTGTGTGTTTTGACATAGTATAAATACTTTAGCAAGTCATAGAATTATTAGAAGCACAGAAAACAGCCAAAACCAATTAAAAAAATTCATGCAGACATATTCAGACCATGGAAATATAATATTTGAAATATGTCCTAATAAAGACAACACATTATAATCCCTTAAAAGAAAGCAGCATTATTTCACTTTTATGTAGTGTCTGTATAGCAGAGTGACCATCGCACCTGTTTGGATTTGAATCCTAGCTTCACGACTTACTAGCTATGTGACTGAGGTCTTTTTAAGCCTAGTTTCCTCGCCTGTGAAACAGAGATGATGGTCCTTACCTCTTAGAGTGGCTCTAATAATTAAACAAGATACTGGGCTTGTATGTAATAAGTACTTATATCAATGGAACTGTTATTTCTCATTTTGTGACTTGAGCTAAACATCTATATTCTTCTTTCTAAAGTATTTTGTTCTTAGTAGTTACTCAATAATTGATGGCTAAGTTGAATTGACTATTTCTTGAACATTCATTTATTTGCTCATGAACCAAACACTTACTGAGGGCTTAATGCACATTAACCACCTTTTTTTCTAAGGAGCAGAGGGTCTAGCAAGAAAGAGAAACTGCATTGCAATGTGATAAGGACTATAATCACAATTTGTCAAGGTGAAGAAGTGGGGCAAAGTAGGGACTAATACTGTTTTGGGGAAATGCTGGAGAAGGCTTCACAGATGAAGTAAATTTTGAAGGATATATGGAATTTTCCAAGTAGTTAAGTGGAAATTAACGCATTTTAATTTCATGGATAGAATCCACATGATGTTTAATAAATTTACAGAGTTGTGCAACAATCACCACTATCCAGTTTTAGAACATTTCCATCATCCCAAGAAAGATCCCTTATGGCCATTTGCAGTCTATCCTATTCCCACCCCTAGTTCCGTGAAACCACCAAACTGTTTTCTGTCTCTATAGATTTGCCTTTTCTAGACGTTTCATGTAAATAGAATGATAGATTTTATTTATTTTATTTTTTTGAGACAGAGTCTCGGTCTGATGCCCAGACTGGAGTGCAGTGGTGCAATCTCAGCTCATGGCTGCAATCTCGGCTCATGGCAACCTCCGCCACCTAGGTTCAAGCGAGTCTCCTGCCTCAGCCTCCTGAGTAGCTAGGACTACAGACACGCACCACCACGTCCAGCTAATAGATAGATTTTGTAGTGTTTACGCCTGCTTCTTTCACCCAGTATAATGTTTTCCAGGTTCACTCATGTTGTAGCATGTAATGGTAGTTTTTTTGTTATTGTTGCTGAATAGTATTTCATTATGTGGATATGCCACATTTTTTCCCTTTGTCTATTCAGTAGTTGATGGACATTTGAATTGTTTTCACTTTTTGGCTGTTTCAGTTAATGCTATTTTGAACATTCATATACAAGTTTTTGTGTGGACATATGTTTTCAATTCTTCTGAGTACATATCTAAAAGTGGAATTCCTGAGTTATATGGCAACTCTATATTTAGCCTTTTGATGATCTGTCAGATTTTCAATGGGGGCTGTACCATTTTACATTCTTCCAGCAGTATATGAAGGTTGCAATTTCCCCACATCCTTGCTAACACTTGTTATTATCTGTCTTTTTGAGATAGTACCTATGCTAGTAGGTATGAAGTAGTATCTCATTGTGATTTTAATTTGCATTTCTCTGGTGGCTAATGATGCTCAGATCTTTTCATGTGCTTATTGGCCATTTGTATATCTTCTTTGGAAAACTGTCTATTCAGATCCTTTGTGCATTTTTATTGAGTCATTTGTCTTTTTTTTATCATTGAGCTTGCCACTGCATTCCAGCCTGGTGACAGAGCAAGACTCCATCTCAAAAAAAAAAAAAAAAAAAAAAAAAAAAAAAAGGGAGAGAGAGAGTTTTCATTTAAAAAACTATATGTATTCTAGATACAGGCCCCTTGTCAGATAAATGATTTGCAAATACTTTCTCCTGCTTAGTAGCTTGTCTTTTCATATTGTTAGTAGCATCTTTGGAGGCACAAAAGTTTTAAATTTTAATGAAGGCCAAATTGTCATTTTTTTCTTTTATAGGTTGTACTTTTTGTGACATATCTAGAACTTTTTGTCTAACCACAGTTGTTGAAGATTTTCTTCTATAAGTTGTATAGTTTTAACCTTTACATTTAAGTCTATGATCCATTTTGAGTTAATACCTGTGTAGGGTGTGAGGTAAGAGCCTAAATTCATCTTTTTGTACAGGAATATACAGTTGTCTCAGCACCATTTGTTGAAAAGACTATCCCTTTCTCGTTGGATTGCTTTGGCACTTTTGTTGAAAATTAATTATAAATGCAAATGTTTATTCCTGGATTTTCAATCCTGTTTCATTGACTTAGAAGTCTGCCATTGCTTGAGTGTCCACTGTCTTGGTTCCTCTAGATTTTAGTAAGTTTTGAAGTTGTAAAGTGCATGTTCCTACTATATTCTTCCTTTTCATTTTACTTTGACTCCTTTGCATTTTACTATTTTAGGATCTGCTTGTCAATTTCTGCAAAAATAACTAAGGAGATTTTTGTTGCCATCTTATCAATATTAAGTCCTCTAATTAATGAATATGAACTGTCTCTTCATTTATTCTGATCTTAATTTCTCTCAACGAAGTTTTGTCTTTTTAAGTGTATGAGTCTTATACATTTTTGTTATTTCTGTTGTCAGATTTTTATTTTAATTTTTAGATTGTTTATTGCTAGTATATAGAAATACAGTTGATCTGTGTGTATTGAGTTTTGTATGCTGTGACCTTGCTAAACATATTTATTAATGTTAATTGTGTTTGTGTGTCTATGTATTCCTTATGATTATCTCTACATGTAGGATCATGTCTCCTGCAAATAAAGACACTTTACTTCTTCATTTCCAATCTACATGTATTCCTGCCCACCCCGCTGGGTTTTCTAACCTAGAATCTCCTGTGCAGTGTCAAAACATCTCCTTCATCTGGAAAATGCCCACCATATTCTTTCCCCTCTCCAAATTTTTCCATGGTGGGTTCAAGCCCAGCTTCCTCAACAGAGGTTTCCTTTCTATTCAAGATGACCTATTTTTATTTTGAATGGCTGGGTCACTAGTTGGTCTTACATTCTAGTTATTTAATGTTATTCTCTGTTCTTTGTTACATGCCTACTGGTCTTGTTTCCAGAATGTAAGTAGATAAATTACCCATGCTTACATAGTCAGTAAGCTAGCAATTGTTGCCCCAGATTAGTCCCATTACAGCTAATGATTAGGGTTTGGTTGGTTGGCTGGTTTACTTTTAATCTTACAACAGGGCTGTATTGCTTAGATTTCCCCATAGGCAAACTTTTCCAGGTATCATCTTCTCCCCAGCTTAACGCTAGATCTAGGCCACATTTACGCCTTGTACTTGTTCTTTGGCATCAGCATTATACATGGGCTTTCTTTTTCCCCAGGATTCTTCTAGCCAGAAGTAAAATAAAGATACTTTTATTATTGTTTGTTTTATTCTTCAGATTTGCTGAAAATTAAAGAATTGGCCAAAATATAGACATCAAAGAATTAGCATCCATGAGGCTAATTGAATCATTAGCTCTATACAGATGATTTAAATCTTAAGAAATTACTGCTAACACCTATTTTAGTTACCTTTAAAAATGTATAACATACTAGCCACTGGTGGAGTTGCGTTCTGTTCACTTCTGCAGCAGTGACTTTCTTATGTTTAAAAAACGAATATATATTTAAAAAATATATATTCTTTTTTTAATTAAAGAAGCCCCCCATGGTAAAAAAATGTTCTCAATCGTTGTTTGTTTGTTTTGTTATTCTATGGAATTTTATGATAATACTCTCTCTTTAATATTTTCTTAGCAGGAAATAGGATAGCAAATACTGCCAGAAATCTTTTAAGCGATGTTCTAATTTCTGATACTGTTACACAATATATTCAATTTATAGATCTTCTATTATAATGGCACTTAATTTTACTTAAGATGCCATTTTTGGATGGGCATGGTGGCTCACGCCTGTGATCCCAGCACTCTGGAAGGTTGAGGTGGGCTGATCAACTGAGCTCAGAGTTCAAGACCAGCCTGGGCAACATGGTGACACCTTGTTTCTACAGAAAATACAAAAACTAGCTGGGTGTGGTGGTGGTACATGCCTATAGTCCCAGCTATTTGGGAGTCTGAGGCAGGAGAATTGTTTGAACCTGGGAGGCAGAGGTTGCAGTAAGCTGAGATGGTGTCATTTCACTCTAGCCTGTGGGACAGAGTAAAACTATGTCTCAAAAAAAGAATAATTTTTATTAACTTATCATACAAATAATGCAAGCTCATTATAGAAAATTAGGAAAAAATGATAAGAATAATTTAACTACCTTAAAACTTGGGACAACCACTGTTAATTTTCTCTGCTTTTATGTACAGGAAATGTATGTGTGTGCATATTTTTTAAAAAGAAGGATTGTACTTTTCATACAATTTTGTAACCTACTCTTCTTTCCTCAGTATATTTTGAATATCTTTTCATGTCAATAGATATATTATTATCCTTAGTGACTACATAGTTTTTCACTAAAATGTCATCTTTAGAAGATGAGAAGAGTTGTCACAAAACTTTATATCCTAACACATTTGCCATATTTTTAGCCTCCTCTCAGAAGAAGTAGTTCTGTTAAAGAAACAGCAGCAAGTAAATTTGAAATGTACAGTTCATTAGCCTGGATTGCAATAAGAGCTGCTGCACAGGTTGGTGTGATTTTTGTTTAATCTTTCTTTTTACCATCATATCTGTATTCTCTGCTTTTAAAGAACAGACTATACCTGTAAAAGAGAAAGGAGTTGGGGTGTGGTAACTCACACCTGTTATCCCAGCACTTTGGGAGGCCGAGGTAGGTGGATCATAAAGTCAAGAGATGGAGACAAGCCTGGACAACATGGCAAAACCCCATTTCTACTAAAAATACAAAAATCAGCTGGGCATGGTGGCACATGCCTATAGTCCCAGCTACTTGGGAGGCTGAGGCAGGAGAATCTCTTGAACCTGGGAGGTGGAGGTTACAGTGAGTTGAGATAGCACCATTGCACTCCAGCCTACAACAGAGCAAGACTCCATCTAAAAAAATAATTTTATTTTAATTAGCTGGGCATGGTGGCATGCCTGTAGTCTCAGCTATGCAGGAAGCTGAGGCAGAAGGATTGCTTGACCCTGGGAGGTCAAGGCTGCAGTGGGCCGAGATCCCACCACTGCACTCCAGGCTGGGCAACAGAGTGAGATCTTGTCTCAAAAGAAAATAACAGAAAAAAAAATTATATTATTTGGGAGTTGTGTCAATTATTATGTTTCTTTGGAAAGATTAGAAATACTGGTTATATTTAGTGTTTTCAATCTCTATTAGCCAGACTTGGTTCTATTTGTTTCACCTTTTCTAAATGAAAGTATTGGCAGATATACATATATATGTATTTGACATTTTGGCAACTATCTGTCATAGCTAAGTGGGGTAGCTTATTTTAAGTGACTTATGCATTAATTAAATTGTCAACCCGAAATTATTTGTTTGACTATGATATATTCTAATGTCAGGGATCACATATTATTTTTCAGGTTGTCTTTATTTTTTCTTCCAATGTATGGAATATTATTTTATGAATTCACTTTTTTTCATTATTTATCTAATAGATAATCTATGAATTAGAGAGCTTACATTTATAATCCTAATTTATGCATTAATTGTAGGTCAGTGAAGCTGTGCTGGCAATTAACCTACTTATGGGAAAGAAGAATATTAGAACCCATAGAGTTAATCAAATGGCATTATCAAATATCCCAGAATTTGCTGCTCTGGATCTTTTGTCTTCGTATACAGATTACTTGCTTGGTATGTTTGGATGTCTACATATTATGCAGGAAAAAAAAATGGATATATGTAATGTAGAATCAAGTTTCAAAGATTTCATTGTAATTTGTTGGCTTTTAGCTTAGATGGGATAATGTTTGGGGGTACTTCCAGGGGATCTTGGGGTCCTAGGGCCAAAATAGAGGGCCCTTAGCTCACTGCACCTGTGTATGTGTTACCCAGTCAGCTGGTGCATTGCAGATGCAAGTTCTTATACAAAATGATATTTTACATATGTTGCTTTTCCAGTTCACACGTATCAAGTGCTTTTGGGAATGTTTGCCTCTCTGATCCTTTAATCCAAAACCTACACTCATTCTCCCACTCTTATATGCCTCCCTCTTCTTTTCCTTAGTTATTTAATATTTGTATGTATGTTTGATTGTGTTTAAGCTCTTTCTCCCATTAAATCATCATCAGCTACACGAGGGCAGGGTATTCATCAATTTGATTTTCATCTACAGCAAACTGCACAGTGCTTGGACATAGCAGACATTCAATATTAACATTTGTTAAATAAATTAATAAGAGGTTAGCAAAATTTAAACTTGATTGCAATACTGTTTATGATTTTGCTTAGTTACTCCCTTGATAGTAAACTGTAATATAAACCTCTATATCAGATAACTGGTGACTGGCATTTAACATTCATTTATGTATTTTTCCATTATTTCACTCAAAAAATATTTATTGAGTGCTTCTTGTGTTCTAAGCACTTGGATAGGTGCTAAGAAGGAAGATACTAGTCTTACTTCCAGACTGACATTTCACTAACATCCATCTCTAATTTTGCTTGGTGCTAGGTCAGCACTGAGCCAAAGGAGAAGAGTTTTAACCTGACAGGGCTGGGAGTGGTGTTCCTAATATTTCTGGAATCACATCTGTAGACAGCAGCTTAGTCTGCGGAATTGTTGGGTCAGCCTTAATTAAAGTGTTAAATTTCTAACGTCCCCTTCTTTGGCTCCTTTCAGAAGCATAGGTGTCCCAGATTATTTTCTAAACTATTTTAGATTTTTTTTTTTTTAGGCTGAGGCTTTATTTTCTCATTTTTACTTCCTTCATGCCTGATAGAATTTTGCTTTATTGGCTTTCTGAGCCATGGCCTGAGTGTCAGACTGGGTGCCTGCTCTTCTTTAAGGTTCCCATCGATGGGTTCTCTCCGGACAAAGCCATTGACCCTATACAGGGCAGTTTGGCAGTCCCGCAGCCAGGAGGAGCTGGTCACCACTTCCTTGCTTAACACTGTTTGGCTACTCAGTTCTCCCTGGTTCAGAATGTCAGGAAAACATCCCTCTAAGAAGCACACATTATTGGCCAGGCGAGGTGGTTCACGCCTGTAATCCCAGCACTTTGGAAGGCCAAGGCGGGTGGACCACCTGAGGTTGGGAGTTCGAGACCAGCCTGACCAACATGGAGAAACCCCATCTCTACTTAAAATACAAAATTAGCTGGGCATGGTGGCGCATGCCTGTAATCTCAGCTACTCAGGAGGCTGAGGCAGGAGAATCGCTTGAACCCAGAAGGTGGAGGTTGCAGTGAGCCAAGATCTCGCCATTGCACTCCAGTCTGGGCAACAAGAGCAAAACTCCATCCCACCCTCCCCCACCCTCCAAAAAAAAAGCGCATATTATTGTACAGTATTAATAATCAAGAGACTTCTGTTGATATCCTGGCTCTGCCAAACCATTTTGTTTCTCTCAGCCTCATTAGAGACTAATCTACTCTTGAATCTGAGGCTAATTGCTCAGTCTCTATATCTGTAGACTGAGAGATTGGTCAAAATCTAAGGCAATGATTCAGTTTTCCAATATGGCTATTTCTTCTTCATACTGCCTCCTTATTACTTCTGAATGATGTGTCTACTTTATCCTAATCCTTTCCTTGTGCTCTCCTAGTTTTTAGGGCAGGGATGACTCATCGGTTTCATCTAAGATGGACCCTAAAACTCGGTGGCTTACAGCAACAGGAACTGATCCTTACACTCGGCTCATGTATTCTGATTCACGCTGCGGGTTGGGTTCAGAACTCTTATGTACATTTTTTGTGAGGCCCAGGCTAAAGAGACAAATGCATTTAAGGCTTCTCTTCACATCGTATCCCATTGGCCACAGCAAATCATAACACCAAGTCCAGTATCAGTGAGCTAGGGAAATATACACTCCTTGTACAGGAAGGGAGAGAGGCATGAATGTTTGCTAAGCGATAATCCAAACTATTGCATATGACAAATTCAATGGCCAGTGGCTACCTGAGAACAACCTCTGTATGATTCAGGGGAAAGAACCATAGAAAAGCCATGAAAAAGCTGCTGTGATTAATTAATGATGTCAGCCGTGGGCACACAATGGAAAATGATGTTCTCTAAACCAAACCATGTTCGTTGATCCAGTTGAGTAGGTAGTCTTCATTTCAGTTTAATACTAGAGCTTAAGCTTTCTGTTTCCGTATCAGTGGCATTCATAGCATATTACATTTTTTCAGTTTCCATTTTAATGGTAATTAGCCCTTCTTTACTGTTTTAACAGTGAAAGTACCAAATTTTAAAATCCAATCTGTTTTGCATTTTGCCTCACTTTAAGAATAATAATTTTGCCCTCCAGTCCTTTCCTGGCAGGCTGATAATTAATTCATGCTGATGACTTCCCTCACTTCAGTGTTTGGGTTAGAAGGAGGTTCTGAATTCCCACTTGGTTGCCACAAATACCCAGATGGCAATGAGGTTCATATTGTAATGGCTTGCTAAAGGGCAAAATTCCTTAACCATAACAAATAAAACTTGTTTGATTTTCCTTATATTAGCATAAATTAGCATCTAGCAAAAAACCTCAGTAATCTTAGCTTTAAACAACACTAGCATTGATCTACACATGAGGTGATGCACAACATTTATCATTATTGTATGCAGAGCACTGTACCAGATGTTTACATTCAGAGAGAAGGAAGAGTCAGATAACATATCAAAGAAGTGGGTCCTACCTTCCATGAGCCTCTAGTCATGGGCAATCAGAACAGGCATATACCCTGAAATGATAGAAATTCATTTTTTGGCTGGGCACTGTGGCTCACGCCTGTAATCCCAGCGCTTTGGAAAGCTGAAGCAGGTGGATCATTTGAGGTCAGGGGTTTGAGACCACCTTAGACAACATGGTGAAACCCTGTCTCTACTAAAAATACAAAAATTAGCTGGGTGTAGTGGTGCACACCTGTAGTCCCAGCTACTCAGGAGGCTGAGACAGGAGAATTGCTTGAATCTGGGAGGCCGAGGTTGCATTGAGCCGAGATCGCACCATTGCACTACAGCCCAGGTAACAAAGTGAGACTCCATCTCAAAATATAAAATATATATAAAAAATTATCTTTTAAGCAAAGCCTAATAGGCTGGGTGCAGTGGGTTACACCTGTAATCCTGGCACTTTGGGAGGCCAAGATGGGTGGATCACTTGAGGCCAGGAATTCAAAACCAGCCTGGCCAACATGGCAAAACCCGATCTCTACTAAAAATACAAAAATTAGCCAGGTATGGTGGTGGGCACCTGTAATCCCAGGTACTAGGGAGGCTGAGGCAGGATAATGGCTTGAACCTGAGAGGCGGAGGTTGTGGTGAGTAGAGATTATGTCACTGCACTCCAGCCTGAATGACAGAGTGAGACTCCATCAAAAAAAAAAAAAAAAAAAAAAAGAAAAAGAAAAGAAAAAAAGGAGGAGAGCATAATAATGAAGGCAGATTCAAGTGCCACAAGTGAAATCCATCTATGCCTTCTGAGGTGACGTGGACACAGGCAGAATGGCACATGAGTTAATTAAGAACATTGTTTTCTGGGAGAGGTGTATTATGGGGCAGGTGCGAATTGACTCAGGGGAAGCAGATTTTATCAACAGAGCAACTGATGACAGGAGCATGATGACAGAATAGACCAGTCGTGTGTGGAGAGTGAACTATAGATCATCCTGCCAGGACCGGAGAGCAATTGTATGACGTCTATTGCACAGCAAGATGGAAAGATACCCTTTCATATCTTTTGAGTTTTGATTCTTGAGAATAAATTACCAAAAGAAAAAAATATCCATACATATTTGACCAATATAATCTGGTCTTTAATTCTGCAGAGAAAAACTAAGAACAGTTCAATGTTAGTTCCTTTGTAGAAACTTTGCTTTTTCTGATGGAATACTTAGAATTATTTTCTCTTCCTAATCAAAAGGTGTTACCAGAGTTTGTCCAGATACATTTTCTGCTATAACCATCTTCAGAAGAATTAGGGAGGGTGGAGGAGGATCCTTTGCAATTGCTTTCCATAAGCCCCGGCCAGAGCTTCCAGGGTTTCACTGGTTCTGGGCCAGTATTTAAACTGCCAATTTCCATGTATCTTTCAGGTGGGGTGAATTACAACCTAAAGTGAGTTTTAATGTGGGCACTTGTCATGTTTCCCTGAATCTACTCAAGCCAGCAGACAGTGTATTTCTAGTCCCTAGTTTGTGGACAAGCCCATTCTGCGTCCCCATTTATATAGGTAACTCATTTCTGACTTTCCGTACCTGCAGGGCACTCTTTTCCAGACTGCTGCACGAGTCTGGCACTGAAGTCCCTGTTCCATCTGTTAAGGCCTAATTCTAATCCCTCTCCAGGGAAGTCCTCAGGTTCAGGCCCTGCTCACAATTCCCCAATTTGTTTTGACAGTTTGGAATTTCCCTTTCCTGGTTTCAAGCTCAGCTACAAGTTAAAACAATTTTTGTACTATTGTATCCAACACTGTTATGTGTTTGGATTGGGAAGGGCAGAGGCATCGCTCATGTCAGCGCCATCCGAGCAGTCCAGCAGGTTGACTAGAAGCATCAATTCTGCATTTTGAGTTCCTGGCTATACTTTATCACACCCAATGTAAAGCTTAACAGCACAGCCTTTAGAATTGGATAGATCAGGATTTGAATTAGTAGTGGAATATTACTCAAGTTATATAACCTCTCTGAATGAGCGCCTTGCC